CCTGGATGTTTTCTAGCACATAGGGGTAGTGTTCTTTAAGACCATTCAAACTCAACTGCTTTTCTTCAAGGATCTTTCTTTTTGCCAGGCCATCTTTATACAGATTTCAAGAGTCGGTGATCCCAAACCTTAGATCGTCACCACTCTTTATGTATGCTTCGGCCTGGAGGTCAACTGGTGGCACAAGGTCAATCTGTACCTCCTCTTCTTCAAACTTAGAGGCAGGCTCAAATAAATTTCTAGATGTGCCAAGCCTTTTTGCGTTGGCATTGCTATGATTGTGGGCTTATAGCTGCAGCACATCTCTTTCCTCCAGTGGTGGGTGTTCGCGATGCTAGGGATTTCTTTGGTTCCATTCCTTCTATCTAACGATGAGTGAGTACATAGTAGGGCATGTGTAACATATGGAAGAGAAATGAGAGACACAAAATGTTTTGCAAGAAGTTATGCGATCGCAGAACAACTCTGCGGACCACAAACCACAACACAGAATATAACTATCAGAAGCAAAACAATTATGCGGGGCCGCAGAAGTGGTCGCAGAACAGGTTTGCGACCGCAGATCGGTCGCATTTTGAGCTTTGAACATAGCTTGACTCTGCTTTTTTGTGATCATTATGTGGTCCGCAGACCAATTTTGCGACCGCAGACTCAACATCACAGTTGTTTCCGCAACACCCAATGCGGTCCGCAAAATCCATCGTCCCTACAACCAATATTGCACAAGTCATATTATTCTATAGAGCTTATGCACAATTTCACATAGTAACTACCCACAAACAATATTCGTTCAAGTTTATACCCCACTCATCAATACCCACTGTATATTTCCAACACTCACTGAACCCATGCTCAAATTAGTGACCCTAACTCTAACCCCTCCCCCTAATTTTAATCAACCCACAACAAATATTTCTTCCCAAAATGGATTCCCAGTACAAGAGACAAAAAGCAGAGAGAAAAGGGTATCATAGATCATGTAGGAGAATGAGGCAAGTAATATGGCAATTTTCAAATTAAATGAGCTAGAGGAGGGTCGGAAAATCACTTACCATATTGTTGGAAAATTTGAGCAAGTGCCATGGATTTGATTCGTGTGAGCAAGATGAGCTATTCTCATTCGTTTTTCTCTTCTTTCTTTTTTATTTTTTTGTTTCTGTTGTCTGTTGCTTGTGTTATCTAGAGACGATAGAAAGAGATGAGAGAGAAGGTGGGTAGGGTTGTATACCTGGTAATTCTGCATTGGATTTACCATCGCAAACCACACTATGCGGTCGCATATGTGTTTCGCGAAGGATTATTACCTGTGGAAAGTGCAACAGATGTGCGACCTATTCGGCGGTCGTAGAATGATTCTGCGGGCCGTAGAAGGTGATTATCTCTGCATTTCTAAGGTCCAATTTGAATGGTGTTCTGCTTTTGTCTGCGACCATTAAGCGGTTCGCAGCCCTTTATGCGGCCGCATATGTTGCCGTAGAACAACAGCTGAAGCTCAGCTTGTTTTCCTTCATTTTCCCTCTGCCTTTGCATCCTATTTCTTTGTATTTTGGACAACCTGCATTCTAACACATACGTCAAACTGTTCAACACTTACAAGTGAACCTACAAAAATAAAAATCTAACAAAAAAATGATACCAACACATGGGTGGCATCCCAAGAAGCACTTGATTTAACGTCATGGCACGACAATGTTGCCCCTATTTTGGCTAATCAGTGGTGGGGATTGGTACATGACCATCCTTGAATGTGAATTGTTCTACTAGTTGCCTTTTTCCAATGGTTCCGAGCTAATGCTTGACCCTTTGGCCATTTACTTTGAAAGTTCGAATCTCGTCCTCAGATTCTAATCAATAGCGCCATAAGAAGACACACTCACAACTTTGAATGGGCCAGACCATTTAGATTTGAGTTTGCCCGGAAAGAACTTCAATCTTGAGTTGAAGAGTAAGACCAAGTCAAAGGATTTGAATTCCCATTTCAAAATATTCTTGTCATGAACAAACTTCATTATTTCTTTATACATGGCTGCATTCTCATAGGCATGGAAATAGAATTCTTCCATCTCGTTGAGTTGTATCATCCTTAGATTAGCAACTTCGGCCCAGTCAAGATTCAACTTTTTCAATGCCCACATGGATTTGTGTTCAAGCTCCACTGGCAATTGACAAGCCTTACCAAAAACCAACCGATAAGATGAGGTCCAATGGGTGTCTTAAATATTGTTTGATAAGCCCACAATGCATCATCTGGCTTCTTTGACCAATCGGTCCTGTTTGCATTAACAGTTTTTGCTAGAATGTTTTTTATCTCCCGTTTAGAGACTTCAACTTGACCACTTAACTGAGGATAGTAAGGGGTGGTCACCTTGTGCTTGACTCCATATTATTCGAGCAACTCGGCAAAAGATTTGTTGCAAAACTGAGAACCACCATCACTAAGGATGGCCCTTGGGGTTCCAAACGGAGTAAATATGTTCTTAGAAAAGGCGGTTACACTTTTTTCCTCATTGTTTGGCAAGGCTCAACCATTTAGATACATAATCTACTGCCACCAAGATATATGCTATGCCGTAAGAGCTTACAAAGGGACCCATGAAATCTATACCCCACACATCAAAGATCTCGGCCTCCATCACAAAGTTCATAGGCATCTCATGCCTTCTAGAAATTGACCCTTGTCTTTGACATTGGTCACATGCCTTAACCATTTGGTTTGCATCTTGATAGATCTATGGCTAATAATATCCACATTCAAGCACTTTACCACAGTACGGTTTCAATTGTGGTGACCCCCAACTAGGGAGTCATGACATGCTTTGAGAAATTGCATCACCTCATCTTACGGAACACAATGTCGAATGATGTTGTCGGTGCAAATACAGAACAAAGATGGTTCCTCCCAATAGTATTGCCTACACTCCCGCAATAACCTTTTCTTTTGATAAGCTTCTGAATCATCGAGGATAAGGTCACTAACCAACAAGTTAGTGATGTCGGCATACCAAGGAGTGGATGTGCTAGAAATTGCCAATAAGTGTTCATCTAGGAAGGCATAATTAATTTCAAAATCTTCTTTTGGTCTCCCTGCCTCTTCAAGCCTAGATAAGCGATTCACAACTTGATTCTCTATTCCTTTTCGATCCTTGACTTCAAAGTCAAACTCTTGTAACAAAAGAACCCACCTAATCGGTCTTGGTTTAACATCCTTTCTCCGCCATAAGGTAGCAGAGAGTAGCATGATCGTTGTAGACCATCACTTTGGATCCCAACAAATAGGCCCGAAAATTTTCAAAAGCATAGACAATAGCAAGCAGTTCTTGCTCAGTTACAATGTAATTTATTTGTGCGCCATTAAATGCCTTGCTTGCGTAGTAGACAGGATGAAGAATTTTGTTATGTCATTGACCAAGTACTATTCCAATAGCCATACCACTGGCGTCATACATGAGTTCAAATGGAAGAGACCAATCGGGTGTGACAATAATATGTGCTGTGGTGAGTAGGGATGTACATTTGGATCGGATATTCGAAATCTGAACCGATCCGCTCAATTTTGGATTTCGTATTTAGGATATTTGGATCGAATTCAGATTTGATTTATTAAAATTTCGGATTTTCGAATTGGATTTGGATTTTTATAATTTGAACCCGATCCGTTCCGAAATCCGAATTTATTAGGGGGAAGTATAAATACTAATTTTATTTTTAGGGTTAGGTATAATCTTATTTCATTCTCGTTCTCTTCTCTCATTCTCTCAGAGTCCACCCTGAGACTGCTGCTCATTTCTAGAGACAATTGCTCCTGCTCGTCGCTTCCTCTGTCTCTTCTCTTTCTAAACATCAATGGCTTCTTCTTCTGCTTCTTCTTCTTCTTTCTTGAGTTTCTTGTTGTTGTTTTCTTCTTTCTTTCTCTTATGTTTTAAACTATGTGTAGCACAGTTAGTGCCAGCAGCATACATGTTTGGTGACTCCCTTGTAGACGTTGGAAATAACAACCATTTTGATACAGTTATTAAAGCTAATTTCCCTTATAATGGTGTTGATTATCTTGGTTGAAAATCTACTAGATGATTTTGCAATGGGAAAAACACTGCTGATTTTCTAGGTAATTAAGCAAACACTCATCATATATTAATAGTAATAGATAATCCTATTTATGAAACATTAGTGTTTCTTGACCTTTCTTATAATTATTTCTTGAAACTTGAGAGCCCAGATCTGAAAACACTAGTTGGAAGCCTAACAAATCTTGAAGAACTTTATCTTGACGACGTAATATTTACGTACAATCCGATCTGAAAATCCGATCACCAAACCAATCTGAACTTTAAAATTCGATCTAATTCGATATAATTCGGATCAGATTCAGATCGGATTGCATGTTGTGGAATCCGAAATCTAAAATTTCAATCCGATCTGATCCGATTCATGCACAGCCCTAGTGGTGAGCCTTGCTTTCAATTCCTCAAAATCTTTGAGGCATTTCTCATCGAACTCAAACTTAGCATCCTTTTCAAGGAGCTTGCACATGGGACTTGCAATTTATGATAAGTCCTTCATAACTCGCCTGTAAAAATCGACATGCCCCAAAAAACTCCGAACACCTTTGACCGAAGTGGGGGGAGGAAGATTGGAAATTATCTTAACCTTTGCCTGATCAACTTCAATGCCTTGCTTGGAGATTTTGTGACCAAGAACAATACCCTCGTCCACCATAAAGTGACATTTTTCCCATTTGAGCACAAGGTTTGTCTCCTCACATCAGCACTTGCCTAAGGTTGTCAAGACAATGCTCAAAGGAATCACTAACTATAGAGAAGTCATCCATGAATATCTCTAAGAAATCCTCCACCATGTTCGAGAATATTGATATCATGCATCGTTGAAAAGTAGTCGGGGCATTGCATAGCCTAAATAGCATCCGACTAAAAGCGGAAGTCCCATACGAACATGTAAATGTCATCTTCTCTAGGTCCTCTAAGGCTATGTTGATTTGGTTGTAGCCATAATAACCATCCAAGAAGCAATAAAGTGACCTTCCCGCTAGCCGATCAAGCATTTCATCAATAAAAAGGCATAGGAAAATGGTCTTTGCAAGTAGCACTATTTAGCTTCCGGCAGTCCATGCAAACTCTCCACTTGGTCACTGTCCTTGTTGGGATGAGTTCATTTTTGTCATTTTGAATCATGGTCATGCATCCTTTCTTTGGCACACATTGTACCGGACTCACCCAAGAACTATCGACAATGGGGTAGACAACCCCAGCATCCAACCATTTTATGATTTCTTTCTTCACCACCTCTTGCATGGAAGGATTTAACCTCCTTTGATGCTCCACGCTAGGTTTGCTCTCTTCCTCCAATTGTATCTTGTGCTCACAAATTTCGGCGGGAATCCCTCGGATATTTGCTATAGTCCAACCAATGGCTTGTCTGTGCTCTCTCAAGATATCCAATAAGTGCTCAACCTGCACATCATTCAACAAAGAAGAAAAAATTACGGGTAGAGTTTCATTAGAGCTAAGAAATTTATATCTTAAGTGCAGCGGAAGTGGCTTGAGCTCAAGTTGTGGTGGTGTCACGACCCCAGTTCGCCCTCCGTGAACTTTCATGACGGCACCTAGTCTCTACGACTAGGTAAGCCTAAAAAATGCGAAAATAAACGAAACTTGCGAAAGAAATAATTAAAAGCCAAAAATAACTGAATGAAACAATATTTAAAATGTCGCTCGATATATACAACACAACTTCTCAGAATCTAATACACTATCCCAAAACCCAGAAACTCATGGAACCACAATCCTTTGGATATCTAACATTGTCTAACTCCAGAATATCTAACAAGGAAAAGAAATACAGAAGGGAAAATGTTTAAAAGCTAGAATAGAAGGGACTCTTCGGTCTGCCGACGCGGTAGATGTACCTCGAAGTCTCTAGAGTAGTCGTCTTGCCTCACGGGTGGTAGGACTGAGTCGATGTACCTGGATCTGCACATGAAAAACATGCGCAGAAAGGGAATGAGTATACCACAGTGGTACTCAGTAAGTGCCAAGCCTAACCTCGGTCGGGTAGTGACGAGGAAGGTCAGGGCCCTACTGAGGTTAAATAAAATATAAAGTTCGACAGTGTAGAACATAATAGTATAAATAAATACAACAGTAAAAGTAATGTCACACCCCTTTTTTAAAAGAACCTTCACTAAATCCTCTTAAATTAATAAAAGGATTTTGTAAAGCTCAAAAGGGTTTTCAATTAGAAAGTGACAAAAATTTGTGTTCCAAAGGATTAACTCAGAGTCGCCACCTGACATTTGATTTCGGTGTGTCAGGTCACTATTTTTCTAAAATAATTTTTTTCCCTTCAAAACACTTGAGACTCCAAAACTAAGTCTGCACCAGAGATTCGGGTAAGGGGTTCATTTGACTCGGGGAGAAGGTGTTAGGCATTCTCCGAGTCCCGTAACTAGTACGGTTGCATACTTGATCTAATCGGTTTTTAAAATATTCAAATTAATGTAAAACAAACACAGAAAAATAAGCACACAAAAGGGCTCGAGGTCGTCCCCACCTAATAAAATAAAAATAAAATAACATACTGCAAGCTCCACTTTTGGCCTCCAAATACAAGTACTACGGGGCATTCCCCGGAATAAAATATATACAAGTCCTTTGGGGTATTCCCCGGATAAATTTAACTAAGGAAACGACCTCTCGCCTCAAAATTAACAAAAATCCTAAGGCTTTCCTACTCAAGTGTGGCCGGCCTAAACATGCTCCTAACGGTTCAATTAATTAAAAGAGCAGTAAAAATATTTCAATTAACTTTTAAGTTTCAATCCGATCCCCTGGCCACATACTTGTTTTACTATCTATGTCATCACCCAGTTCATATAGTAAATTTATTCAACTTTGAAGTCGCCAAAATGTTAATCAAAACTCCTTAAACATCTATATCTAAATGAATAATTGTAATAGGTAATTAAAAAAATCATTTTAATCATTAAACCCATACGAACAGGGAGTAAACCAACAGACAAGAACGAATGGAGTAAACAAACAGTAGAATATCATCAAAACAAATCAATGAAGGTAGCTCAAACATCCAAACAAACGGAGAAGCAACAAATTCATAAAGAGATTAAGCACAAACAACGTGAGGAAGGAAGAAATAGACCTCGATGAATCTGAAATGTCAAAACCTCGGACAAGAACTCTACTGGAATGTCTCGCCGAAAACTTCACCGGATTCTTACCGGAATTTGAGTGAAACAAATGAGCCAGCGACTAAAACCTTTATCTACGACCTCGAACTGCTTACTATTTGGTTCGCTTCAAAAACCGCAGGATACCTCCAGCACTACAAAGATCTTGGAAACGTTGTTGTAACAGAAGTGTGTGTTGCACAATTTAAAATCACTTTGACAGCAAACTTTGTTTAATTTATGGAGTTAATACACATGATCTTCAAGATCAAAACCATACAATGAAGCTCACATAAATCGGGACCAGGATCTCGACCAGAAACCTCATTGACTCGACCTCAATCAAAGAAAAGGGATGGTGATTTTGCTCCATTTCCACTGTTGTTTCCTGGTATTCAAAGGGTACTATTGAGTGGTGTTTCATATGGTCTTTTTTAGCAGCAACACAGCTATTTCGAACAGAGGTTTCAGCTGCATTTCGGACAGTTTCGAGAGTGATTTTTGGTGGTTTTCGGGGCTAGAAAGATGCTGGTTTTTGGACGGAATTTGGTGTGGAAATAGTGCTGTTTTTAGCTCGTTGTTGCTGGATTTTAGACTATTTTCAACTCATTTTTTGAGCTACTTTGAGACCGATTTCGAGCTGAAGCTTTGCTGGAGTTCCTGGATGGATTTTGGAGGTTTAAAAAACTGGTTTTGCTGCTTCTTTTTGGCTGGATTTTTGCTGTGTTTTGAGGTAAAAATGGACGTGTTCTGTCGAGTTTTAGGTGCTGATTTTGGAGTGTTTTAATGAATGAAGTTTCAGCTGGTTTTCATGGTTGTTGAATGAAGAAGATGAAGCTGTTTTGAGGAAGAAGATGGGCAGTAGCTGTTGCATTTTATTCCTTCAAGCATCTGCCCCCTTTTTAGTGCTGCTGCACAGCTCCTTTTTAGCTCTAGGGTTTGCCTCGTTCTCTTGTCTTGTGAAGAAGGTTGAAGAAGATGGCTTCTGGCTGCTAGGTTTTCTAGGGCTCCTTTTATAAAGTGTAGGGATTTCTAGGTTATATCTTGTATTTTTTGCTAATTAGTCCCTAGGTTTTTTTATGTATTAGGTCCCTTAGGGTGAACTTAATGGGTATTGGGTATTGGGCTTAAGGAATGAGCTAGAAACTTGGGCCTTTATGACTAGCTATGCTCAAAAATATTAATTATCCCTACTTAAGTAAAAATAATTATTAAAATAAGACTGACCATTAAAACAAAACTATTTTTTGGTATTTTTTCAAGATTAAAAATGACTACACACATTAATGAAACTATTTTTTTGTAATTCTCATTTCTTGTAATAAAATAAAGTAGAAGAGTCAAAATTAATTAAAATAGCTATATTAGGCCTAAATTAAATATTTACATGCTAAAATACGAAAAATCTTGGGGAGGGTCAAAAATTACATGTCTACAGTTGCCCCTCTTTGATTGGAAACGCGAAGAATTTTCGGACAAAAACGACTAGAGAGGTTTTTTTGACCCGACCCTTATTTGGAAAGACTAAAACTAAGAGAAAAGGGGAATGTGACCAAGCTCTTGTATCTGAGCTGCCTACATATCCTTGGCTATAAAGGAATCAGGCCACGTGTAGTTCAGAAGTGAGTGAGATGATGGAGTATGCCGAGGTAGAGAGCCAGTCGAGGTGCCGTTCCGCCGAGGCTCTGGTCCGCGGTCCTGTTATTACATTAGAAATCAATATATGAAAAATACTAACTAAGCCTGTCAGCTATGAGTTACAAAAGTCCTATCTATAAGTCTTCTGAAGCTTGATCTTGAGTCTGAATGGTTCTTCATGCAGACTTTAGATTTGAACCTTGACGCTCGCTAGTTGCAGGTGCTAGTTCATTCTTCTTAAGCTTTTTTGGATCAAGACTGGACATGTAGACCTTGTGACTTCAACCACGTCTTGACTCGCATTCTTACCGCGAGCTTCTGCTACTTCTAACTTGAATTGAATTCCGAAATAACTTCCCTTGTTATCCAGGTGGGTGCCTGCTACTGACTTGAAACTTGAAATGACTCTGAAATGAGCTCTGAAATGTCTTCCCTCATTCTCCAGGTGGGTGCTTGCTAATAGCTTGAAACTCGAATTGTATTCCCCTTGTTATCCAGGTGGGTGCCTGATTACCAAAAACTTGAATTGTATTCCCTCGTTATCCAGGTGGGCGCCTGATTGCCAACACTTGAATTGTATTCCCTCGTTATCCAGGTGGGGGCCTGATTGCCAAAACTTGAATTGTATTCCCTCGTTATCTAGGTGGGTGCCTGATTACCAAAAACTTGAATTATATTCCCTCCTTATCCAGGTGGGCGCCTGATTACCAAAACCTTGAATTATATTCCCTCGTTATCTAGGTGGGTGCCTGATTACCAAAACATGAATCGTATTCCCTCGTTATCCAGGTGGGTGCCTAATTTCCAAAAACTTGAATTGTATTCCCTCGTTATCCAGGTGGGCTCCTGATTGCTAAAAACTTGAATTGTACTCCCTCGTTATCCAGGTGGGTGCCTGATTGCCAAAAACTTGAATTGTATTCCCTCGTTATCCAGGTGGGCTCCTGATTGCTAAAAACTTGAATTGTACTCCCTCGTTATCCAGGTGGGTGCCTGATTGCCAAAAACTTGAATTGTATTCCCTCGTTATCCAGGTGGGCTCCTGATTGCTAAAAACTTGAATTGTACTCCCTCGTTATCCAGGTGGGTGCCTGATTGCCAAAAACTTGAATTGTATTCCCTCGTTATCCAGGCGGGCGCCTGATTACGAAAACTTGAATTGTATTCCCTTGTTATCCAAGTCGGTGCCTGATTACCAAAAACTTGAGTTGTATTCCCTCGTTATCCAAGTGGGCGCCTGATTACCAAAACATGAATTGTATTCCCTCGTTATCTAGGTGGGTGCCTGATTACCAAAAATTTAAATTGTATTCCCTCGTTATCCAGGTGGGTGCCTGATTGCCAAAAACATGAATTGTATTCCCTCGTTATCCAGGTGGGCGCCTGATTACCAAAAACTTGAATTGTATTCCCTCGTTATCCAGGTGGGCGCCTGATTACCAAAAACTTGAATTATATTACCTCATTATCCAGGTGGGCGCCTCCGACCAAAACTTGAATTGTATTCCCTCGTTATCCACGTGGGCGCCTGATTACCAAAAACTTGAATTGTATTCCCTCGTTATCCACGTGGGCGCCTGATTACCAAAAACTTGAAATGTATTCCCTTGTTATCGAGGTGGGTGCCTGATTGCCAAAAACTTGAATTGTATTCCCTCGTTATCCAGGTGGGTGCCTGATTGCTAAAAACATGAATTGTATTCCCTCGTTATCCAGGTGGGTGCCTGATTACCAAAAACTTGAATTGTATTCCCTCGTTATCCAGGTGGGTGCCTGATTACCAAAAACTTGAATTGTATTCCCTTGTTATCCAGTTAGGTGAATGATTGCCAAAAACTTGAATTGTATTCCCTCGTTATCCAGGTTGGTGCCTGATTACCAAAAACTTGAATTGTATTCCCTCGTTATCCAGGTGGGTGCCTGATTACCAAAAACTTGAATTGTATTCCCTCGTTATCCAGGTGGGTGCCTGATTTCCAAAATTGGAACTGTATTCCCTCGTTATCCAAGTGGGTGCCTGAGCCATGCTCTCTTCTTAGAGGATTCTGAACAAAATTTCTTGCCCCTAAGCCATGCCTTCTTCACGAGAGGGTCCCTGTGGATTAACAAATTTTCTTGCCTCTGCTTTAGACGAATAAAATTTTGTTAGTTTGAAAACGTGGTGGGTATCATTGCTGAGTGTCTGCTTCTGCCACTGCTAAGATAACTTTGATTTCAACCTGGACGACCTTGACTATTATCTACTGCCCATTTTCTTTCAACCCTTATCACAAAAAACACCTTTGCTCCGTTCGTTCCCAATATCCTCTATCTGTTGCATTTTGCTCATAGATTGACATTTACCGAACTCTTGCATTTCTCATATGAAACCCAAAGCATGTTGATTGTTACCAACTCAATATGCATACCACTTTTCCTCGACTCATGCCACTTTGATGTGCTAGCCAAATTTGTTTTGTGCAATTGGAAAGCTGGTAGCAAATTTTGAAGTCATTTCTCACTTGTTCTGACAAAACAGACTCAAGAAGGGACTCAAACAAAACGAGCAAAACAAAATAAGGGACAAGGGAAAGAGATGATACCTAACAAGAAAATTACGAAGTAGAAACTTATCAGATGTGGATACCAACCGTAATGACCATGACATGCACCTTTGGATTAAGTGGCCTAATCTCTCAAGCAAGTCGAATATTCAACTCTTGTTGTACTTCTAAGTTGTGAAACTGGGCTTCGACGCTCCAGTTGTCCTATTTAATCCACAATCCTCAGTTGACTTGTAGTGTCCTAAAGGGTTTTCACCATCAAGCCTCTCTCATTTTGCTCTTTTCTCAACTCACTGTCGTCTTACGGTGCCCCTGAGGATTTTCAGCTATAAGACTCTCTCATTTTATCATTTTCTCTCATTGTGCTGAGAACAAAGGTATTACCCGTGATGCAGGGATATCATATTTTCACCGCACACTTGATTTGGCATCCTCAAAGATTGGTCAGAAGGTCTTTCTTTGGATCGTAATGTAGGCTTTTGAACAGGGTTGGAAAGAAAGGGTGGTATGAAGGCTTAAAATAATTTAAGATGAAAAGGGTTCAAAATTACAACTTTTGGAATCGGGCCTTTTGGCAAAACTAAAACTTCTGCCCCAGTTTCTTGGAGTTTGGGGATTTTTTTTTGGATTTTTGCTTTGATGGGATTTCTAGGAAAAACTGCCCCACTCTTGACTTGGGGATTATGAAATATTTTATTTGGTATGACCGAACCGTAAGGCTGCCTACGTATCTTGTGGTGACAAGAATCGGGTCGAACGTAGTTCAAAAGACAAAGTTGTTTTTTTTCTTTTCTTTTTCTCTATTTTTTTTCTTTTTCCTTTTTCTCTATTTTTTTCTCTTTCCTTTTTTATCTTCTCTTTCTCTTTTTCTTTTCCTTTTCTAGTTCCTGACTCTATTTCAGATTCCAAAAGAGGGGTATGAAACAAAAAATTAGGGCTCAAAATGGGTAGCAAAAGATAAAGTGTTTGGGTAGCAGAATAAAATACCTTCGTCATACCAAACTTAAAAGCGCCCAGTACAAACATGCAATTGAAGATAAGCAAACAAATCACACATATTATCTATTGATGGCATCAATACAAACAAAAAGTGTCAATGAGCAATACTTTTGTTCCAATGAATGACCCTTGCCAGTTCAAAGCAGACTTGACTCAACCTTATCTTGATGTGGAAGAATGCATTTCAGCACTGACTGATTTACCTCAAATTGCTTGAGAGACATTTCCTTGTTGTATGCTCTTATCAACCTCTTGATTTTCCAGACTAACTACCTCAGTTTCACTCAATTCAAGCTTCAGGTTATCTCAGAATGTGTGAATCTTTACTTGTTTCCCCAAATACATCCTTTTATCATATTCAAAACTGTATCATTGTTTCATGATTAGACTAACTTTCAAGACCAAGCTGAGAATTATGCGTGCATGTCATGTCATGTCACTAGATGAAAAGAACTATAAAGGAAAAGTGACCTAAACAAAAACTGACTAGAACTAACAGAAAACAAGAGATTGCATTAGACAGATGGTGAAAAGGGTTTGAATAAAACAAGCAAAATAGACCTGGGTTACAACCCTAGAACAATCCTAGATAACACTAGACGAGTTACTACCACTAAACGAACTAGGAAAAATAAGAAAAAGAAGGGTTTGAGCCACAATACAATATCCAGATTACAACCAAGACAATATCCGGATTACAACCCTAAAATAACCCAGACAACAGAAATGACAACAAAATAAACCACCAAAACTCCTCCGTGGCTATCCAAAAAAGGAGTGTCTTTCCAATTACCAGGCTCGACATCTTAGCCACTGG